ATGTTAGGCTTTTATTTTGCAGCAAAAGTAAAAAATGTCGTTAGTTTTTCAAAAAGTTTTAAATTTAAGAACGCTTATAAATATACTTCAAGATAACTGAATATATTTATGAGCATTCTGAAATTTAAGAAAACTCGGTTAAGAAAAGGTTTCCTTTTTCCTTTAGTCATTATCTTGTTACAGATATATTTTTCATTATATTTGAATTATTGTATGTGTATGAATAAAGCACGAGACGGGAGTTAAGTTTTAGGGACTCTTTTATGTCAACAAATCCTTATAACAGTTTTTTTTTTTCTGAAAATGTACATTTTGTCAGCATATTTTATTTTTAAAATATCTAAAAGAAAGAGAGGATGTTCTCTCAAAATATAAAAGGAAAAACAAACTTTAAAAAATGTTAATTTTTTACTCTAGTCTTTATATAAGAAAAAAAAGACGAAACAGAAGCATAATTTCAGCAGACGTTTTGGTCCATTATTGAATGTGTCTTGCAGCATCATGCAAAGCATGTGAACAGGATATTGTGATGTATATTATAAATAAAGAGTTTGAAAACAGTAAGGAATTGTACTTGTCGAACGTACAAATAATAACCGTTTACAAAATCAGACTACGGATTTTACTGCATTTAAGATACATATTTACAACGAACACTGCCTAACCCTCGCCAAAATGAATAATTCTCCCTTCGTTTGCAGATTTCGTTTTGGCCTACTCCAGACTAATTAACAAACATTTTCATAGAATGTGTCTCACCAATTATTTTGCCTGATTTATTTATTCGTTTAGTGACATTTTCTGAGATATCGCAGAGAATAAAGACAAACCTACGCATACACAACTGTGTACCTCGTACCCTGGTATTAGCGGGTTAACAAAAGAGTTAATTGGTGTCACCAGTCCATTTTTTTTACGGCTGGCTGTAATGTGTCATCACAAGCTATGGGTTAAATAACAGGGCAGACTGGCAATGCATCGATTATATATAGATATACAGATATATGTCTGTACTTATGCATGCATAGAAACCGTTTTGCGCATGACATCATTGATATATATATATATATATATATATATATATATATATATATATATATAACTTTTATTAAAAAAAGCTTCGACAGGGATTTAGTTCGTAAATTGAGTACAGATATCATAAGTTCGTAAAATGTGTAGAGGTATCATAATTCTTATTAAAATTAAAATCACCTCTAATCTCTTGAATATACAGACATATATATATATATATATATATATATATATATATATATGATAAAAATATAGTTTTAAGGCATGCTATATTTATAAGTAAAAGTGCTCGATATCAGTGATAGATTTTATGTAAATATAAAAGTGGACACTGAAGTCAACACCGAGCGGCGACAGTCTGTTACATGCATGAATCTTTATTGCTTGAATATTGCGTTCAAGTATGAAACAGACTGTCGCCGCTTGGTGTTAACCTCAGTGTCCACTTTTACATATATATATATATATATATATATATATATAGAGAGAGAGAGAGAGAGAGAGACAAACAGACAGAGGTATTATGATCAGACAGACTGTTTTCTTTGCTGCTTGCATTTATTCCAATTGCGTCATTGTTACTGGCATGCCACAATAACTGACAATCGAAAATAGAAGACGAGCGAGTACGAGGCTAACGCTTCTGCCATCAATACTTTACCCATTAGTGTAAATAGTATTGTATCATTTTTACAAATGATACAATACTATTTAGTTTAGATAGATATAAACATACTGTTATATATATATATATATAGATATATATATGGATACGAATCAAGCAGATATGAATGTACGCGAGATAATCATGGAGAATTGTAGTTTAAAAACAGTAAAATCCACCTTGCTAACCGAAACGCTCCTCTGTGGCCCAATCGGTTAAAGGCACGTCAGGCTATATGATGGTTCCGTATAGGATACAGGTTCGATTCCTGTCGGAGGACGCATATTTTCTATGAAAATTTCTCCGACATTCAGGCCAGTAAATGTTAATAGTGTTTATTATAAACAGAGCATTTACTTAAACATTTGTATCGATAAAAAGAACGTATAAACATGAAAAATGTATTTATATATATATATATATATATATATATATATATATATATATATATATATATATGGTGAGAGATGAACGTATTGAGATAGATAAAATGTTTATGCTTCTAGCATTTTTCAATATATATTGATTTTTAACTCAGTGAGAGATACATAAATAGATGTAAACATTGAGATAGATAGATGTGAACATTTTTCAATATATATTAATTTTAACTCTAGCAATATTGCTATTTATCAAGCTTACATTAATCTGAAACAATACCATTAATCTGTGGCGCCTAGTGAGGATCGAATTATTTAAAGTATTATATATGCATACGTATCTAATCGCATGAATTTCGTAAAGATATCTTATAAAACTTGAGCGCTGAGTTGACATTTTTGTATGCTCTTTTCACAGACCGTTAGTGAGTTCGATTTTCACTGATAGCTCTGTGTATATTCTAAAAGCAAATGTTTATAAGATAGTGTTACAAAGCACTGCCTGAAAGAACACCCCCACCCCACAATCAGGGTCGGGTAGTCGGAGTCGGGGGTAGTATGCACGGGTCCTGAGATTACTCACACATATGATTTGATAGTGGTGAAGGGTTGTGCAGAACCAGTCACGCTTTTAGAAAGGATTGATAACAGAGAAACTGTGCACAGTGTACACCATGATGTCTCCAAAGAAACGTCCTCGTGCTTGAATTCAGAGTTTTACTTCTAGACTGGTTATTGATCAAGAGCGTGAGTGGCCCAGTCTTCTCTGATATTAAATCCAAAGCTCGGGAGATGGGCGAATATTTTTCTCAAGGGTATTTCAGACACTCTATGCATTAAACTACCAGCACATCTATCTATCTATCTATCTATCTATCTATCTATCTATCTATCTATCTATCTATCTATCTATCTCATTCTGTTCATTATCTATCTATCTATCTATCTATCTATCTATCTATCTATCTATCTATCTAATATCGTTTCTGATGCTGCCCAGCTTGCGTTAAATGTTACACATGACGTCACCGTAAATTATTTCAAACTTTCAACTTTCCCAAAACTATCATGATGTAAACGATTGGATTTTGCTTACCACATAGAGACCACGTTGGTTCTTGAACAATGTTTAATCACAATCCACAATACAATAAAAAATTAGACAAAATATGTCGGTTCTTTTTAATCAAACTTGTTTCGACGAATACTTGCTGCATAAATATAATTATCTATCTAGTATACACACACAGATGCATATATATATATATATATATATATATATATATATATATATATGGATGAAGTCAAAAGAAAAATATTTCCATATCAACATTTTTGTCGAGAAAGTGCTCAATAAAGAAATAGTCAATAAATAAGGTTCATCTGACTTCAATAGATTCATTTGACACTGATGAGAAGTACATCCAGAAAACTTTGAAGTGGATCGAATGATAAGTTATTTGAACTTTTTTTTAATTTATTCACTATATATATATATATATATATATATATATATATATATATATATATATATATATAAGGTGTGTGTATGTGTAACGAATGTACGGCCGCAATTTTCGACGGATTTACACCAAAATTTACATGCACATGCTCCAAGTTAGCGGAAAGGCCAAGACCGACTTTGCATTTCCCAACTCCCATCGATAATGGAAATAATCGATTTTTTCATGCTTCTACGGCAGTTTTCATGTAGTTTGCGGTCATTTTGTACTGGCCAGAGTGAGAGTCAACAGCTGACTGACACGTATGTTAACTAGCATGCTAGCATGCAAAAAAAATCGATAGCTGCATTCGTCAAAAGTGGGAAAAATTTAAATCTGCATGGCACTTTACTCCAATTGGCTCATTCGTTTGCTTAAACTTAACGTTGATTCTGATTCCGCAGAACTAGGTTGGGTGTGAAAAAGTATTTGTTGTTAACATTCTTTTTTCATTCGGTTTTTCCAGTTACGAGTCCTTTTTTTTTTAAAAGCTAATCGTTTTGGGTTCATTTTGTTTAGTTCTTTTTTTGTAACAGATTTAATGTTTAGTATAGAGCTTAGAAAAAAATCGCAGTGTGAGATAGGCAAGAAGTAATGCATGTAGCAACATCAGCACGGCAAAGGGCACTCGTTTAAAGGCAAGGAAGGGCAAAAATATTTTAAGTCAAGTGATAGCGATTGCTGTATGAGTCGTGCGATTTCTGAATCAAGCACGGGCAACGCCGGGCCATGCTGCTAGTATATATATATATATATATATATATATATATATATATATATATATATATATTTCCTATATATTCCTTCATATGATATCAATAAGTAAAAAATACTTTTATACATTATTCCGATACTGATCTTTTAGTTGCCATTAGTTTTGTTTCATATTTAATTTGCTTCGATATTAAAATTTTCATGAGATAATTTTTACATAGGTAAACACATTCGAGAAAAGACAAATCTATTTCTTGATCGAATAAACAATGTGGAAGACTTAGAAATAGGATGTTTGCTTTTTTCTGTTCCTTTTTATTTTTATTGTTCGCCAGGAACAGAAAAGACTACAATAAGCAAATGAATGAAGAGAGGAAACAGAATTTTCGATACTGTCATAGGTTACCTGTTCTTTTTGTACTGTTCAGATATTGAAACTTTTGTCACGAAAATATTGAATAACAAAGATGAAAATGCTACATTGTTAGCAGAAGAATAATGAAACCATACAAGAGACAGAGATAAATGGAAAGAGAAAAAGATTTAGATAAAGTAACTTTGGGAAATTATAGACAAAGATTTTAATACGGTATATATGGAAGAAAGATTGTGCTGCGCCTATCTTCGAAATAAATTGTCGTTTTTTTAATCTCATTGTTTCTTAAATGAAATCTTAAGCACATGAACAAGAAAGTAATATTTGACAGATTATAAGCCGAAAATAGATAGATAGATAGATCTTAGATAGATAGATAGATAGATAGATAGATTATGAACGGTCTGTGATTGAATATTGAGAGAGATTGATAGATAGATTCATTGATAATGAACAAACGGAGATAGATAGATAGATAGATAGATAGATAGATAGATAGATAGATAGATTATGAACGGTCTGTGATTGAATATTGAGAGAGATTGATAGATAGATTCATTGATAATGAACAAACGGAGATAGATAGATAGATAGATAGATAGATAGATAGATAGATAGGTTATGAACAGTCTGTGATTGAATATTGAGAGAGATTGATAGATAGATTCATTGATAATGAACAAACGGAGATAGATAGATAGATAGATAGATAGATAGATAGATAGATAGATAGATAGATAGATAGATTATGAACGGTCTGTGATTGAATATTGAGAGAGATTGATAGATAGATTCATTGATAATGAACAAACGGAGATAGATAGATAGATAGATAGATAGATGGGTTATGAACAGTCTGTGATTGAATATTGAGAGATTGATAGATAGATTCATTGATAATGAACAAACGGAGATAGATAGATAGATAGATAGATAGATAGATAGATAGATAGATTATGAACGGTCTGTGATTGAATATTGAGAGAGATTGATAGATAGATTCATTGATAATGAACAAACGGAGATAGATAGATAGATAGATAGATAGATAGATAGGTTATGAACAGTCTGTGATTGAATATTGAGAGAGATTGATAGATAGATTCATTGATAATGAACAAACGGAGATAGATAGATAGATAGATAGATAGATAGATAGATAGATAGATAGATAGATTATGAACGGTCTGTGATTGAATATTGAGAGAGATTGATAGATAGATTCATTGATAATGAACAAACGGAGATAGATAGATAGATAGATAGATAGATGATATGGGTTATGAACAGTCTGTGATTGAATATTGAGAGAGATTGATAGATAGATTCATTGATAATGAACAAACGGAGATAGATAGATAGATAGATAGATAGATAGATGATAGATAGATTATGAACGGTCTGTGATTGAATATTGAGAGAGATTGATAGATAGATTCATTGATAATGAACAAACGGAGATAGATAGATAGATAGATAGATAGATAGATAGATAGATAGATAGATTATGAACGGTCTGTGATTGAATATTGAAAGAGATTGATAGATAGATTCATTGATAATGAACAAACGGAGATAGATAGATAGATAGATAGATAGATAGGCAGGTTATGAACGGTCTGTGATTAAATATGAACAAATTGAGTGAGATTGAAAAATAGATCCATTGATAAAGAACAAACTGAGATAGATAGATAGATAGATAGATAGATAGATAGATAGATAGATAGATTTTGCTTACATGCTTTCGGAACAATATGAAGAAAACTCGACCGACAACCTCCACTCATATCGGTAGCCTGCATTGTAGGATATTATTGATGATGTTGGCCAAATATTGATCGCCTCTGTATTAGTCATCACAGACCAGAACACATTCAACACACACGAGAGCGCACACAGCGCACCGAAGATAGTCACATGGCTACACACAACAGAGTTGAGCCTACACAACACACCGCATGCACATTACAACTCATGTATTTGGGCTCGTATCGGTATGGGTGAGTCTTACCACAATATTATACAGGCATTCATGTTGACAAATGTAATACAAAAAAAAAAAAAAAAATGGTGTAAAGCTTTGATGGAGATCGTTTCTTTTGTGTTGAATATTGTTTAGTACTTGTTATTTTAATTTTTCTTTAAGCAGTTACGGTAATCGTAAGGGTTAAACTAGTTTTTAAGATTATCCTGAAAGACATGATTCACAGTTTTTGTATCGCAATTTATTGTTCTTTAATTTGCATTAATAGATAGATACCGAGATTATATATTAACACACATCACTCACATCCTTAGATACACACCCTACACACACACACACACACACACACACACACACACACACATATATATATATATATATATATATATATATATATATATATATCAAATCGGTATCACCCCAAACAAGGCAGTACAGCTATTAGCACGCAAGGAGTTACATGGTTTGGAGGAATTAGGAACAGAAACTTATGACCATAGCACGTTGAAACGCCGGTTTACTTACGATCACCGAAGTTAAGCAACGTGGAGCCAGATTAGTACTTAGATGGGTAACCGTGTTGTAAGCTTGAGTGTGTGATTGGCATAATAGATAACGGCTCGGAATTAGGAATCAGATATCCGAGTTCCAATTCCAGTCGGGTTCATTATATTCACTTACGTGCAAATGCCCTTCGGAAAGGTATGAATCCATCCGTTCACCCCCATCTATGAATTAATTAGTACGATTTATATCATTAATCATTATTATCTCCGAAACTTCTTACAATCTAAAATATTTTCTGACTTCAAATAGCCTGCAAATAGTTGATAAGCAATAAAAAAATAAATACATACACACACATATATATATATATATATATATATATATATATATATATATATATATATATAAAATGTGAGGGTGATGTCGATAGCGCTCATAATGAAAAATCGTAGAGCAGAGTTCGAATTCCAGTCAAGTGAGGAAATGTATAAATCCATCTCTTTGTCTCGCCCTATTCAGATGTGCGGTTAGTCTGGCTATTTGATTTTAAGAACTGAGCTACTGGGCCCTCATACAACGGAAGAGTTTATTATATATATATATATATATATATATATATATATATATATATATATATAAAAAAATAAACATATAATTTTAAAGGATTCTATATTTATGAGAAAAATGACATTGTGACAAAACGTCTATTTTATACTTAAAATCTTGATGGCTTGAATATTGCGTTCAAACATGACACATGACTGTCGCCGGTATATATATATATATATATATATATATATATATATATATATAGAGAGAGAGAGAGAGAGAGAGACAGACAGACAGACAAGGCCATTAATCTGAGGTGCTTAGCGAGGATCGAATTATTGAAAGTATTATATATATATGTATCTAATCCCATGTATTTCGTATACATACTTCATAAACCTTGACCGCAGCGCTGACTTTTTTATAAGATCTCTTTTCGTGTACCGTTAGTGAGTTCGGTTCTCACTGAGCGCACTATATATGTTCTAAAAGTAAATACTGATAAGTTAGCAGGGGTTACAAAGCATTCCCGCCCACACAGTCTTCAGCACTTCCCGGTCGGGGGATCGGTGAACATTAGTGAGTCCTCTAGTCTCCTGCTAAACTAATTACGGACACGGAAAAGAAATTACAAAACCTTTTACAGAAGGTAGCGAAGGAGAGCAAGAAGAAAGGACTAAGCATAAACTACAAGAAGACAGTATGCATGGTCATCAGTAAAAAGATGAACCCGAAATGCGATTTACAGGTTGGGGACACTAAAATCAAGCAGGCGCGGAAATTTAAATATCTAGGAAGTGTTCTGACAGAGGACGGTATGTGTGACACTGAGACGTATTGGTATGGCCAAAGACGCATTCCAAAAGTTAGGCAGATTATTACAAGACAGGAGGATTTAGTTGGTAAAAAGAAAAGATTACTGAACTGCTACGTGATATCTGTCCTCTTTTACAGCAGCGACGGTCTCCTCAAAGATGAAGAAGAGGATCGAGGTAACAGAGGTATGGGTCTACAGAAGGATGCTAAGAATACCATGGACTGAGCGTGTGAGCAACGATGAAGTTTTGGAGAGGATGCAAAGAAGGAGGAAGCTTATACTTAATATCAGGAAAAAGCAGTTGAAATTTCTGGAGAAAAGAGGGCTTGGAAAATCTGATACTCACAGGGCGAATAGAGAACAAGAAGGACAAGGAAAAGCAAAATGTGACATGCTTAGCGGTCTTAAGCAAGTGGATGACAAAACAGGGTTTTGGAGAAGAAGCAAAAGGACAAAATATATTGAGAACTACAAGGGATAGGAGAAAGTGGAGAACCATGATCGCCTACGTCTTGATTGGACACGGTATATAAAAGAAGACTCTTATACTTACAGTTACAAGTTAGTCTTTTACGACGGATAGTTCGTGTGAGATTTTATGTCTTGTGTCAGAATTGTATGGAAATAAATATAGCTTCGTATCGGCTATACTTTAGGCATAGAAAGCGTAAAGCAGTTCTTCTACGAGTCATCACTTATGCTAGTAACAAAGAGAAGAATCTAGTTAGCGAATAACACGCTTGCCAAGAATATGCATTGACAAACATTCAGACATCCGCCCAACATGGTATCTTATTCTGTTATATTTACTTCGTATAATTGAGCGTTTCTTTCTTCTTTTTTCTTGGTGAAATTCGCGTATTTTTTCTTCCTAGCAGCAATTGCAACTTTTCAGCCAATGGTACCGATAACGCGGAACTTAGTGAACATTACATCAATTGCATAAAAAGTTGTTTTTTTTTTGGGGGGGGGGTATCAGTATCCACCCACCCCAAGCAAGGCAGTACAGCCACTAACAAGCAAGAGGTTACAGTGTGCGGAGGAATTAGGAACAGAAACATTAGTTATGAGTAGAAAAATAAAGGCGTAATCAGGAGGACTGTAGATAGCGATTAACATTGCATTTAAATTTTTGCAGATTAAAGTTGGTTGGAACGCATGGGGCCAGAAGGGAGTTCCACAGACGAGAGGTGCGAGAAAAGAAACTGTCAATACAGAAACTACGACTACAGATCAGGATCAATAATATTGCTGATTCATCTTTGGATTTTATCAAGGATCTCCAGATAAACAGCTGGGGCACCGGACCATATATGGCAGCAATATTCTAAGCATGGACGAATGGTAGACTTATAGATATGCAAGATAGATTCCAGAGAGAAAAATTGCCTCGGCCGGCACAGTGAACCGACTTAACAGATAACCTAGGAATGGATTCAATATAGTCTTTCCACTTTAGATGGGATTAGAACGTTAGCCCGAAAAGACATTTTCTTGGAGGGTAGTATCAGCCATGCTGATGGAAGTCAGAGAAGGGTCTCTCAGATGATTGATGAAGAGAAGTTTAGTTTGGAGGCGTTAAAATTGACAAGGTATCTTTTGCCCCAGTTAACAACGGACGAGGTCATTTTGGACATCAGCCTCCATTTTAACCTTGACTGAAGTACTATTGGGACAAGAGTAAATGGTAGTCTCGTCAGTGTAGATACTAAGTTGAAAGCTGATGTCACCAGGAAATGTTAATGAAGATTAAAAACAGCGTAGAACCAAGGATGGATCACGGGTGGGGGGTCACTTTAGTACGAAAGAATGTAGAGATGAGTGGCCGTTAAAGACAACTTTCGTTTCATGATTTGATAGGAACGATTGGATCAGCTCATAAATGTGCCCGAAGATCCCGTAATTCCTGAATGCTAGATCGTGCCCAATGCTACAGCCCTGGCTTCACCGTTATCTAGAGCATAATAAACTCTTTCTGTAATTATCGTCAGCACTTTAGCAGTTGACCTGGAAAAACGAAAGCCGTATTGCTTGTCTGAGAATAGGATCTGCCATGAGAGATGATGAACCAATTCAGTATTGAATACGGCCTCTAGGAGCTTCCCCCCAAAAGATGTAGAAGGCTAATAGGCCGATCGTTGGATACGTCGTCGGTTCACCAGAGTTCTTGAAAACTGAAACAACAGACGATGACTTCCAGCAGGTATGAAAGCAGAAGGCAACGAGGAATTTATTATACGGTTTAAAGAGAACAAGAGCTAGTTCGAGAGCACACATCTTAATGACTATTACAGAGATACCATCGAGTCCACATGCTTTGTGGGGATCAATGTTAGTGATGATTGCAGAAAACATGGAAGAGGTTAGATGCATATCACTCAACAGAGACTCGGTTCTAAGTGGGAAGTTAGGCAGGGATACTTCAAGTCAGCTGTATCAGCGGAGGATGATAACACCTCAAATCGATTGAAGAGGTGGCGAAAGAGAACTCGCATTTATTTAGTACTCTATTACAAAGACGACAGTAATCACAAAAGACGTTTTTAGAGGCTATGCGGTGTCTCATTCTCTCAGCAAATAGTGCCTTATTTGTTACGGGCAGTAGCATATAGGCCCCTGTTATGACGAGAGCTGTCACGCTGGTATATCCGGAAATAGTGGTTCCTGTGTGCTATGGCGGCCAATCATACTGGTGTGAACCATGGAGAGGATTGCGGTTTCACCTGGTATTTCCGAGAAGGGATGAAATCGTCCATGTCAGCTTTGACACAAGAAGAAACTTCAGTTGCGCAATTTTCATTTGGGAGGTTGAATACGTCAGTCCATGGAACGTCACAAATATCATCTCGGAATGTGTCCGAATCAACATGCTGGTAACGGAAAGAGGTCTTACAGATAGGGGGTTCCTGTTTAATGATGCTTGGAAGGAAATATCAAAAGCTACCACAGGTCTGAGTTATCTAGAGGTCAGTATTGCAAAGCTGGCAAGAGCGAGGAGAGGAGGTAAGAAATAGAGCCAAAAGAGAAATCTGTTGCGCGGTTTGGTTAGAGAAACGAATAGGAAGGCTACAATTTTGAGCGAGGGATTGAGCAATGGAAATATATAATGTCTGTATACTGGTAACATCAATACCTTTTGAATGATTCAGTCACGTGTCCTGGTAAGCATTAAAGTCACTGAAATAAAGATGTTCCCAGATGAATGGAGAGAAAGTCCCTTTTCTCTTCTCTCAGGTATTGTGTATGATATACAGCAGTTTTCGGAAGAGGGCGGGGAGTGATAAATGAAAAAGAGCTAGTTGACAGAGTTTAGTAGCGAAAGACGGAAGCACATAAAAGAGTAGTCAACGACCTCGGGAGACAATTCCCAGGCCATCGGCGGATTATCCCGGATGTAAACACCAAGGCCATTCATGTGAATGCATGAATCTTTTCGGCAAAGGGGAAGATAGCCTGGAACTAAGAATTCATTGGTTGCAATGGAAGAATTCAAGTTGGTTTCACAATGGGCAAAGATATCTGGCGACCGTTCAGGAGGGCGATTCTACACTGCAGAAGTTAGAACAAATACCGCGAATATTGAAGAAAGAAAGATTGAGGTTGAGGGTAGGTGTTTTTGTGTTAGCTGGTTTGGTTTTCTTTCTTTTTCTTTAAGATATAACAGTGCACGTGTTTCGGCTTTTTGTCTTATCACCCCAACTTTACAAGGACTAGAACC